TTCTCTTATCGATAGACCGGCTTCACGCAACCCGACAATTCGACCCCTCTCAAAGTCACTTAGCTGGGACTCCCGGCGAATTGTACGCACTCTAGGCATTTTGAGTAATCACAAAAAGCCTTCTCAATAAGCTACACGAAATAGAACGCCCTGTAAGAAAGGCTTTAACAACATTGTCACATTTGCGAGCTTAAAAGTTTTTACGAGTTTGTTGGAAAGAGAAAGCTATTTTAATATGGAGGTTGACCCAGGAGGGTTCAAAGAGGAAGCAGTACCACTGATAATGGGGAAGGAGCTGAGCGGCGGCGAATTTCGTTCAAAAACTGAAAGCATGGACCCATTGACGCAGATGTCATCGGAGCAGAAAACCAACGAGAAACTGATGTTGATTATACAGGACCGGGCAAGGCAAATCCGAGAACTCATGGCCTCAATCAAGGACCAGACGGCTAAAATTGACAGCCTGACCGTCCAGGTAACTCCTTTAGTAAGTTCGAAAGAATCCCCCAAAGAACGGACCAACAGCCTAAAGAGACCGCTACGGACCACTACCGACAATCAATATACATCCACAGACGATGACACACAGACCGACGGATTTATAAACGCAAAATCTAGAAGGAGGAGAAGCAACAAGACTGACTGACGAGCTGAGGACTTTCCACCTCTTCCAAATACAAAATCCACTTTTTTACGCAACTGCCTCACTTCATCAAAACAAAATATCAGTAACACTATGTCTACCACCAAACCTTTGTCATCGCTTGGCGGAGGGACTACAATATCTACCTCTCAGGTCACTCCGTCGGCCAATGTCACTTCTCCTTGGCCATCTCGCTCAGCAGGTGTGGCATCAAGCCAACCTTCACGTCAAAGCCGCTTAATACCTATTGTTCTGCGTGATGGGGCGTACGTTAAACTACAAATTCATTTCCATAGGCATTAAAATAGATCGTGCGGATGCTGTCGATGCGGGAATAAGGATTATTTCTAAATCTTAGACTATCGAAAGATCGTTTGACTGTTCCGAGAGAAAGAAGTGCCCCATCACACTTTTCCTCTCCCTTCTGAACGAATCATCTACGCGGTGGTTCGAGGAGTTCCGCTCAACTTTTCGGACTCTGAGATTAAGGAAGAACTTGAACAGAGTGGATATAGCCCTTTCCATATTATTCGATTGGGGCGCAGTGGCGGCGCGCCCATGGCTTTGGTGGTCGTGATACTGCCAATGAGTGAAAAGTCCCAGCAAGTATTCAATGAGCACGAACTACTGGGACAGGCCATTCGAGTTGAGGTTCAGAAGAACTCCAGACTTATTGGGCAGTGCCACCGCTGCCAAAAGTACGGGCATGCCAAGGACCACATGACGCATATTTGTGCCCCCCACAGGACAGGAAGAGCGCCGGTGTGCAAACTGTGGAGAGGACCATCCTGCAAACAGCCCGACTTGCAAGTTCACTCCAAGGAGGAATTTGCAAGTTATAGCGGAAAGGCGGCACCTGTCATACGCGGATGCAGCTAGGGAAGCAACCTTGTCTGCACCCTCTGCTCAACCTCCCTTGAACGCGCAAAATGTGGACCTGGCAACCGCGCTACGGTCCTTAGAACAAATAATAAGTCCACTGATTAGCGCTACTCAAGCAATGCAGGCGATCTTGAATGGTCGAGGTGACAGTTTAGCAGTGCTGATTAAACGCGGTATTTACTATTATAGAGGCACGAATGCAGAGATGCATAGCATCGAAGCAGCTTCTGTGGTGGTCAGTATGGCGGGAGGAGTCCCGTTGAATATCACATCGGTGTATGTCAGGTGTGGTACCAGGCTACAAGAGGCGAATCTGGAAGTGCTTATGGACTACTCGGGTCCACTTATTGTGGCAGGAGACTTCAACTGCAAACATCGAGCATGGAATTCGAGGTTGAATTCCACGAGTGGGATTCGACTGTACGAGTACAAGCATGTGATACGAAATGGGTACCTTGTACATAGTACTGAAGAGCCGACACAACACCCATTCAACCATATTCAGGCACCAGATGTCATTGACTTCGCGATATCTAAAAACTGTAGATACAGAATCTCTTCTCGAGTCTTGTATGATATCTCTGGTGATCATCTACCTGTTGTCTTGGATGTGGGAAATGAGCAGACTTCTGAGGAGGAAGCTCCTCCAAGGAATCGCATTGATTGGGAGCTCTACAAGTTGTTCCTTAGAGAGTTTCCCAATATCCCGATCATAGATGATGAGACTGGAATAGATGCCGCTCAAGCGGAGTGGACAAGTTTCATTCAAACAGCTCGACAGCGTGCAGCTGTACTTCCTGTACGACTCGGCAGACCTTTTTTGCCTGCGGACATTAGTCAGAAAATCTCTGATAAGAGAGCCGCTATTAAGCAGTCAAAAAGATCTTGTCATCCTGATGACATCCCTAGGGCTACGAATCTTGTCCATGAAGTGAGAAACGCACTCCAGAATTCCGTAATGAGCAATGGAGCGACTTTCTGGCGGGAATACTTGATTCAAGTATTCCTCTCTGGAGGGTCGCAATGTCACTCAAAAACGGAAAGCGAGAACAACTCCCGCACATTCACAGTCCTGAAGGCATTGTCTTCAGAACAGAGGATAAGGTCGAGGTTTTCGCTAACACCATGGAAAAACAGTTCTCTCCCAACTAGGATCTTGATAATGACCTCGACGAGGAACAACACATTGTAAGATCCGTCAGGAGATATTTTAGGGCCAACGGCGTTAGCGGAAGCACTGTATACCCTCTTCACATTACTCTTCTTCAGAAGATTCGTCTGAGGCTTTGCATAGCACATTAGAGGAACCCTCAGAGGTTCCACATTGCACTCCAGCGGAGATCCAAGGTCTTATTAAAGACCTCAAGGTGCATAAAGCACGTGGGGGGATCAAATCACCAACAAGGCGCTGAAGCTGCTCTCGCCGAAAGCTCTGACATATTTGGTGACAATAATCAATGCGATGCTCAGAACCCAGCACTTCCCTGCGGGGTGGAAGACTGCTGCGGTCATCATGATTCTAAAGAAGGTGGGTACGATATTTCCTCAGGATTACCGTCCCATTAGTCTGCTGTCAGCTCCTTCTAAGCACTTCGAAAAAGAAGAATTAAAAGTCGCTCAAACTTCAAACTAGTAAGAGGTGTGAGATGCTATTTTCCATTTTTTGAAGTTAATTTACCCCAAGAATTTTACGCTTCTATTAGGCATATTTCACTCATCACAGGTTTCCCCGCATTCAGAACTGACGAGAAATGTTTTCGAAACGCGTCCCTTCTGTTGTCTGGGCTCACTGCTCGGCGTGCCGGTCTGGTTCACTGTTCTGCCAGTACTGCAGCTCTGCCGTGTGTGACCCGTCGGGCGATCATATATGGGAAAGGGCATTGATGCCAGATGGCCGGTAACTACCTACCGGTAGGGCAGGGAAAGAGTGTCTGTGGAATTGTTTGGGGCTGACTTGATTAATTTAATATTTCTGTTGCACACGTACGTAACTACTTTTTTCGAGGGTTTAACTTGGGCTAAACTTATTCCTTTATGACCTGATGATGGCGTTGCGTAGTAAGTGCAGAGTCAGCTACTTGATGCATTTTTTTACTGATTTCCTGCTACGTATAAAAAATGTACTGTGTTATGATATACTTCACGGACACCTTTTTTCACCGTGAATAAATTTACCAGGCCATCACCGACCACTTTCCTAAAATTAACGTGGCCGTAAACCACAAATTTTTCATCGAATTTAATAAGAGGTCTATTTGTATTCAACTTTATTTGTCCGTTGTCTCCTCGGTCGACTGCATCAGATATTTACGACGGTATCATCGGCGCATATGGCGAGTCTATTTTCATCCCCGTCTTATAAACCCGCTTCTCTTAAGTAAAATCCAACGGATAAAGTAAACTTGGCCATTTTCTTCACACCTCATAATGGCGCGATGAGAGACAGATAGCTACCACATCCTCGCGCCAGCCACACCTCGCTACTGTTCTGATGCTGATGCACTTTTTAAAAATCTATATATACTGCTTTTCGTAAAAACTGATTCATCCATACTGTTACATATTTATAAACAAATCGACTGGACTATGTTGACACGTCGGTCGCGGCTCGTTCACTGCTCGACTGTGATTGACTGCTTTCGCCATCTGGTAAGGTATTTATTCCCCTATCGACGAGTCGAGAAACAGTCCAGCGTTTTCGCGAACTTGCATGGAAGTGGTCTAGATGTCAGCAGATTCATCTCCAGACGTATCGAAAATTAGCAATGGTGTCGCGAATTGTATACCTGATAACAACATTGAAAAGAGCAAAATATCTGATGCAAGCCAAATCTTTTGATGGAAAAGTCAACTTCATCTACTTTAGTTTTGAATCTGAAAGTTCTTAGGAAAAGTAGTGTCGCGTTATAAGTAGTAATTCTACGATCTCATTTTAGTGCCATGAGATTCTATAGAAGGAAGCTCGGTACGCCCAAAAAAACTGTGAGTGTCAAATTGATTAAAACACTTCCAAATGCTCAACTAGGAATTTGCTTTTGGCACTTTTTAAAAAAATCGAGAAGAATTTGAGCAAGGTGTCCCACTATTTTCAATATTAGGTATTTCGCCATTGCTGCTGTTTGATGGATATAATGTTTCGTATTGTTCATCTTTCCAAATTAAGCAGAACTGTTCATATGTTGTACAGTTAATAAATATTTTCTTTTGTTTCTTTGACTTATTTCACTTAACCCTTTCGTCCCGAACGGTACCCATATGTACCAGGCAAATTTAAAAATCCCTGCTTGAGAAATGAAGCATTTTATTTGGTATAAATCTGTACCGGTCCGGTGTATCAGGCTTCCGCAGTGTACCTACAACATGCATTGTGGATATTTTCTGATTATGTCGATTTAGTTAGCACGTGTATGTAGTAGCGGCAGTATTACTCTAATAAAATTAGTTATTTAGGACACTCAAAGTGCTTATTTATGCAGTTTTTTGATGAAGTTCTATTTGCTATTCAACTGTAATTAGTGTTTTTACAAAGGTAGGTCAAAACTATGTTTTATTTTTGTGTTTTTGCGTGTAATATTCATGTGGTACATATATGTACCATCCGGTATTTATGGTGGTACACATGTATACCAACAGGTCTCTAATTACGTTTATTCAGTTTTAGCTTCAATATGGATCGCCGCCATCCGCTTGCACAAAAAGAGCTGGAAGCGCTTATTGAAGATATTGAAGAAATCTCTGATTCGGAACCATTTTCTGCTGACTCCAGTGACAATTATGAACCAAATTCCGATGAAGAAGCAGGCAGTGATACGTCCGATATGTCTAACTCAGACATCCATTTTGCGCCTTCACCACAGGTAACTGTTGGTAGAAACCAAGTTCTTGATTGGGTCATTCCTGATGAAACATTTGAGCCTGCTAAAATCCTTCCACCTGAAAGAGAATGTAAGCTGGCTCCCGATATCACCAAGCAGTTGACACCTATGCAGATTTTTCATAAAGTATTTCCTCATTCTCTTTATTTGCACATTGCAAATTGTACAAATGAACGCCTAAAAATCATAAACCAATTAAAAATGAGGAATGAGAACATGACTGACAAAGGAGAAATACAGAAGTTCATGTTCATTATGTGCTACAATCGCCTTCCAAGCCTGAACAATTATTGGAGTAAAAAGGAGTGAATGGGAAATAGCTCAATTCAAAAAACTTTTTCAAGAGATCGATACATGACTTTGCGCTCAAAAATGTACTTTGCTTCTCCTCAGAAACCTCCAAATGCTTCAAAAACATATTATATTGAAGATTTGTTATCTTGTTTCAAATACACGTTTACAAAGTGTTGCCAGGATAGCCAGTATCAAAGTATTGACGAATCTGTGACCAAATTCAAGGGTCGATCTTCTTTGAAACAATATATGCCCCTCAAACCAACCAAGAGGGGCATAAAACTATGGCTTCGCTGCGATGCAGATTCGGGCTATACGTATGATGTTAATGAATATTCTGGAAAAGAGGACCCAATTCCCGCCAAAAATCAATCACTAACTCTGGGAGAGCGAGTCGTAACAGCCCTTGCGTCTACAGTCAAAGAAAATAATGTAGTGTTATGTTTTGATCGCTTTTTTTACAAGTGTGAATTTGTTACTTACACTAGACTATGCAGCCTTGGGAACTTACATGTCCAATCGCAAGAACGTACCAACTATGGAAGGCAAGCTGCAAAAAGGGGAATCTCAATTCAGATGCACTTCTTCGGGATTACTTCATGTAAAGTGGCAGGACACAATGGATGTTTTGCTGATGAGTAACTGTAAGTAAGCCCAGTTTGACAACAATTATAAAAAAAAGCAAAACCGGTGAACAACAAAATAAAGAGGTGGAAAACGGTGAAATGAGACGTAAAAATGAGAATATTTCTTTTCTTTCTTTCATCACCACACTTCCAGAAGAATTAATATCTGAAGGTATACAAAATACGAGCTTAACATTACCAAAACAAGGCGCCCCTTCAAGAAAAAGAAAATTATATGGTGCATCAGCATTACAACTTCCTGTGGAGGGATCAACAAGAAGAACATCCACTAGATGTTCTGAAGAGAAAAAACAAACAAGAACAAAACTCTTTGCGAGGAGTGCAATATTCCATTGTGCAAGTTCTGTTTTATTTGTATCATACCAAATACTTATTTAGGTTCATTTTCTTCTTTGCAAACCTGTTTTTGTATTTTTTTCTAAATAAATATTCTTGTACCATTGTTTTTTCTGTTTTTATGAATTTTCCGATCATACCTGTTGGTACGCATGTGTACCACCATAAATGCCTGCTGGTACATATATGAACCACCCCCTCAACCGTTACCTGACCAATGAAAAAAATATATATTAATAAAAACTCATTGTAAGACATCCTAACAATAATATTTGGACTAAGGTATTTGAATTCAGGGACGAAAGGGTTAATATTTATTGACAATAATTAACACATTAACTGTCCATATGCAAATTAGTAACTCCACCCATACGTCCACCATTAAATATGGCATGCTCCATATGTGGTTCATGGGACGTTATCCTAATATTGAGATTATGTTAACGTCCCATGCGCCTCATATGGCTCATGCGCATTAGACCAAAAAGTAAAAAGAAGACGATTTTAACTTAACCTCAAATTATTTATTTACTTGGTGAACCTAGTAGTTTTCTTAGTGAACTAAAAATGTCTGAAAATAGAAAAAAACTCACCGATAAGGAGCTAGAGTATTATGCAAACCACTTATCAGAAATAAGTGATGGATCAGTGGATTTCGATTCCGATGATAGCATTGCCGATCCAGACTTTTGCAGCGGCAGTGAAATTTCGAGTGAGCAGTCTGAGAGTGATCAGGAGATTGATTCAGATAGTGATGATATTGGGTTTGCTGAGTTCATTCATCAGAATGAAGAAGATTTGAGCTTATTTTGGTTGGATTGTGTTTTGCAGTTTAAAAAATTTCAGTTCACAGGAACCCAAGGAACATTAATTCCAATTGAAGGCAAAGATGTACGAGATATATATAAGTCATTTCTGACAGATGAAATAATACAACTAATGGTCCAGCAAACCAACGACTTCATAAGGTATATTATGAAGTCGTTGCAGCAAACCAATGTGCGTGCACGTGAAATAATAGCAAATTTGAAACCACGAACATCTTCCCGCTTTTCCAGATGGCATGACACCAATGAAGATGAAATGTAATTGTTTATTGGTGAGTAAATACTATGTATTTTGGTTTACATCAACAATGTAATATTTTGGGGTTTTTTGACTTGAATTAGCGGTCTCTGGTTCATAACGTCTATGTGTATGTTTGACCGCCTTACAATATGTTTGACTGCCTTACAATAGCCCCTTCACCGATAAACAAAAAGCTTCTTTTTTACAGTTTCATTAAAATTTGCTTACAAAGATTGTGATCTTTTACGAACATATTGTTTTATATAGCCTAATTTTACGTTTATTTTGTTTGTAATTTCTTTGTTTTTCTTTTCAGGAATCATCATGCTAATGGGAGTTATCAATTTTCCAACCATTGAGAGCTACTGGAAAAAAGGTCCAATTTATTATCACGAAATATTTCACAAAATACCAATCAGCTACAATCGATTTACACTACTCCTCAAATGCTGGCATTTTCAGGACAATACACTTCCGTCCACCAGTAGGCTGGATAAAATAAATCCAATATTGAGCATCATTCAAAACAACATAAAAACTGTTTATTGTCCTGGTGATACTGTGGTGGTAGACGAAACAATGGTGCCTTTTCGCGGACGTCTAAAATTCAGACAATATAATCCTTCCAAAGCTCGCTGCTCTTATGGAATCAAGTTGTACAAGGTATGTACTCCAAATGGGTATACCTGGCATCTAAAAATATATGACGGTGTATCAACCGCCATTGATGGGCTTGATTTACCAGGAAGCACTGTAGTGGAATTAGTGAGACCTCTTTTAAATGAAGGCAGAATGGTAATTACTGATAACTACTACACTAGCCTGCAACTTGCAAAATATCTCTATGATCGAAACACCCACCTATTGGGAACATTACGCAAAAATAGGCGTGGTCTGCCAGAAGAAGTAATTATACACAAATTACGCAAGGGCGAAATAATCTCAAGACAAAATGGCTGTATTACTGTTTCTTTTTCTCTCAACTGTTCATGATGATGAAATGAAAACTTGTGGAAAAAAAAGAAATGGCGAAGATAAGATTAAACCTTCTGCCATTTTGGACTACAATAAAGGAAAACAAGGGGTGGATATATCTTATCAGTTTGCCAGCTACTACACTTGTCTGAGAAAGTCATTGACATGGTATAAAAAACTCGCCATAGAGATTATTTGTGGAACACTCGTTGTAAACACTCTGATTATATATAATGAACAACGTCCAAAAAAAGAACAAGTATCTCTTTTGCAAATGAGACAATCCCTAATAAGCGAGATGTTAAAAAGAAAATCTAATAACGATGGCGGTTCTGGTGGCAAGACCAAAAAAACTATTCACATACTGGAAGAACTGCCTAGAGATAATAACAAACTCTACAGAAAGCGTTGCCACGGATGCTATGGGAAACTGCGCGGAAACAATTCGGCATCAGAATCTGCAAAAAAAGCTAAGAGGGTCAACACTATCTGCAAATCCTGCAATCAAGCATTTTGCGTGCCTTGCTTTGGAGAAAACCATTAGATATATGTTAGTAATGTACGTTTTTACCTATTAAACCGAAAAAAATAAAAAGTTTATAAAATCTTTATTTTTCATTCGATTTTAATAATTTTTTCTTTAAAGTGTCGAGTAAGGAATACTCTAACGCCCACATACAAAAAATGTGTGCGTACTACCACGTCCAACTTATAAAAGTTGTATGAATTTATGTACCACATAGGGCTCATGGACGCATGGAGAATATGGTCCATGAGCCATATGTGGCTCATTGGACAGTCAATGTGTTAAGCGATCCACATCGCAATACAAAGATAGTATGCATGCTCTACGCGAGTTCACCCAGTACGACTATCCGAATTTCGCTCGTCAACTGAGTTGTCCTTGCTTGTTGCTTCTTCTAACGATGAAAAACAAAGATTAATTTGAACAATGAACATCCTAAGATTTCCTACGTGCACATTTTCGAAGGCGCTGTGATTCCTGTGGATAAATTCATTTATTTGAGGCGACATCTAGCGTTTCCTAATTGTTCTAAGTGAAAACAAATTAAATAATGAAATAGAGATCTATATCACATTGTTTTAATTAAACTATTCGACTATACGTCAACTTGGAAAAGAGGCTTGATTTCATAAAATGATGATAATGGAGGACTAAAAGTGACAAAAGCCTTCTTTTATATTAAGAGTCAACTTCTATGTCATCACACCCGTCAATGTTATCGGTCATCGTGCTGTCATTGTCATTTGTTGTTGCCGTCATCGTTTGATGGTGGTGGTGGGTCTGCGAAATTTTCCGTTTCGCCCCATTTTTCCCCAACATATTTACCCAATCTCACGTGATTTTCCCGTCATTTTGCAGGATCAATGAACATGTTCATGTGCACCAAACAATTTTCGTGAAGCGCAGACTCCAACAACCTACACAGCGACATCAGATTCACATTACGAACAAATTAATTTCGAAAATTGGCCAGCCAGAAAACGAGGAAGAACAGGTTGTACAGTTCCACGAACTGGAAACGTTACAGTTTATGAATCAGCTGAAGTTATAGTTTATTTGATAAGAGATTATTACGTTGTAATCGACGCTCATTGTTTAGGGGGAAGCTGAATATAGAACATAGTGCATTTCGTTTAGAAGTGGCGTTTTATGTTGTTTTTGGATTCTAAAGTGTTCCAATGGATGGAGGAGATGGCAGCAGCCAAAATGGTCACAATCAAACACCCCCTGCAAAGATCACTAAATTCAGGGTATGTTCCATCATCTTTAGTTTGCTCTAACTAATGCTCTAAGTTTATCATTTTTTTAGAATGTCGTATCGATAAACAATGATAGTGATGAGGACATTATCATCACTAGCAATGAGGCAAATCTATCCTCATCAGTCAGAAGAAGGGTACAGATAAGCAATGAGAAAATTCAGACAGGATCATTGAATATCTTATCAGCCAAATATGAGGTAAGGTGCTAGAATTTTGAATATTGATACAGTTATCAAATCATGATATAAATAATCTATAATATGCATTATATTCACACACAAACAATCTTTTGCTATTAAGAAATTATAAACATTTTGAAACACAATATTCCTGCAGGTATCAGAAGAATTGAGTCAACTATATTTTTTTATGACTTTAGCCATAGTCACGATAAAAACTGATAGTATACTTCTGGTCTTTTAAGTTCTTTCCTGACGGTTTTTTATCCGACATTTTTCATGACGTTCTTTTCCGACGATTTTTCACGAAGGTCTTACCCAAAGGTATATCATGACGTTTATTCCTAGCAACAATGTTCTCTCCTGACAGTTTTTCACCTTCTTTCCTAACAGTCTTTTCTGATGGTTTCTTGTGATGTTCTCTTCCGACGTTTTTTCACAGTTTTCTTTCCTGACGTTAATTCATGGCATCCTTTGATGACGGTAATTCATAACGTTCTTTCCAGACAATTCACAAGTTTCTTTCCTGACAGTGTTTTACAACATTCTTTCGTGATGGTCTTTCACGTTCTTTTCTGATCACTTTTCATCATGTTCTCTCCTGATATTTTCACGACGTTCTTTCCTGACTTTTTTCAGAGTTCTTTCCGACGTTTCTTCCTGACGATATTTCATAATGTTCTCTCCTGGCAGTCTTTCACGTTGTTTTTCTGTCAGCCTCTTTTGACGCTTTTTCGTAATGTTCCTCACGGCGTTTTTCCACAATGTTCTTTCCTGATCGTCTTTCACGTTATTTCTTAACCGATTTTTGTTATTCTTCCCAGACAGTTTGTCACGACGTTTTTTCATGGCATTTTTTCCAGACGGTTTTCCACAAAGTTTTTTATGACTGTTTTCCCGATAGTTCTTTTCGACGTTTTTTTTTTCACGCTATTTTCTCCTTATCGTTTTGCTACTACAGTCATTCAAAGAGAAAAAAATATAGATTACTTTAAACAATATTTTTACAATATTTTGTTTTAATTGCAGAGTTTAGATTATGACACATGTGAGAACTATTTACTGTTAGATGAAGAGAGGAAGAAAGGTTACAAGTTCATTGTACAGAAGAGCATAGCAAGATGGTTTGTCTTTCTGTTGATTGGTATGCTGACAGCTATTATAGCTTGTATTATAGATATATCCGTAGAAGAATTATCTCGAATGAAATACAGATCTCTTAGTAAATGTATCCTTTTCTAGTTAGAATTGAATTCCAGAATAAAATATTAATTGTATCTTTACATTAACAACGATAGTTTTACTTTTATTTGTTAAGGGTATCTCTAATTTAACAAGTACTACATATGGAAATTTGTTTACAATTCATATCTAGTTATAAACTTAACATTTCTGACCTAATTTAAAAATTTCACAAGTTGCATTTATTGTGAAATGTGAAAACGCTTATTTACAGGTATTGTGACCCCGCAATGTTTATTTTTATATTGAATCACATATCTGATACATATAAAAATGTTTATATTTCATTGTATAACATTTAATGTTTGGATATAGAAGAATTGTGACTTTACATATTTTGTTGTAATTATTTCTTGTAATTGTTTGAATGATTGAAGAAATCCATCAGAACAAAAGTACAACTGTTCTAGAATAATTATAATTCAATGAAATTGGTTAAGAAGAGATAGTGAATGTTGTGTAGTCATAACAAAAAAATGTTCTTAGCACTGCCACAGATATTAGTTTCTTGCTGAAATGTTAGTTAATATATTGTATATCGATGCCATTGTATGTAATGGTCAGTCTGTGGAAATAAAAAGTTTTAGCTTATCAGATATAGTAATAAATCGCTTTGATACAAACTAATCTCAAAACACTCTTCAGGGTCTTGTAGAGTAAGGTTTTGTTTTAACTTAGATATTTGACATCCTCAAAAATAATAATGTTAAACCGAGTTTTAATATACTACTCCATAACAAATTGCAAATGTCTTTAAACAATTTTTTTAAATAAAGACTGCTTTTTGCCCGGAAGAATTTTTTCAGGTTGTCTGGATCATTCTGAACAAGAAAGGCCTCTAGTAACGTTTCTCTAAAGTTGACTATTTTCGAGTTATAAGCGATTTAATATCTGGAAAACCCCAATTACATATTCAATGTTTGAAAACTCTGTTAAAAATAATAATTTTCGATGTCGCCAAGTATCTAAAATAAAATTAAGAGGATTTTGAGATTAGTTTATTTCAATGTGATCTTTAACTGTTACGCTAAAGTTGGTGAACTTTTGATTTTTGTAGACTGTACACTATTGGCTATAAGTGGTAATATGAAAACCTAATGCAATAACATTTTATGAATAGGAATAGTTTGATGTCCATATGTAAGATGATATTTTTGTCTTTATTCTAGGAAAATTGGTTTCCATATTTTATGTTTTTTTTTCATATTATATGCTACTAAACACTGTGATGAATGAGAGATCCTTGTCCATGTCTACCGTACCTATAATATCTACCTTAATAAAACTCCAACAGCTGTGGATGAATATGTAACTCAAGGTAAGTTGTACATCCCCTATGGATTATGGGTGGCATATAATGTTGTGCCAGTGTTCATTGGTGCAATTCTCGTGGCATATGTGGAGCCAATTGCAGCGGGAAGTGGCATACCACAAGTGAAATGCTATCTGAATGGAGTGAAGATCCCTAGAGTAGTCAGAATAAAGACACTATTTGTCAAAAGTGTTGGAGTTATCTGTTCTGTAGTTGGAGGCTTGGCCGGCGGAAAAGTGAGTAAAAATTTAGTATGTTTAGTCTAAAAGATTATTTGAATATATATTATGGTTGTTTATAGAAGTTTGATTCTCATTTTAGCAGCGACTTTTTAAAAGAAATGATACAAGGTGCGGCAACATAACTTCCTTTTTTAAAATGCACTCCATTCAGTCTAGTGGTCTCGTACGAGAGGCGGAACTATAAAGTTTTATTCCGACACAGTTCAGTCGCCATCATGCGTTGGAACAGTGAGGAGCGTGCTTCTGCCGTTAAGGCCTACTTTTCGAGCGGTTGTTCTGTGATCACTTTAATTTAACCCCGTTGGCCCGTCCCGGTCCGGAATTGCGACAAGGCCAAGAACTGAAGTTCTTCGGCCCATTGGATCACCCGAAAACAACGAGGCAGTGAGAGCTTCATTGTTACTATCATGACTGTGTTCTGCGCGCAAACATGCGTCTGCTCTTGGACTTACGGCTTGTTTTGTGAGGAGAATTCTTCATGATGATCTTCATTTGCAATTGAGCAGGAGCTTCAGTTTTCGGATGAACGCGTGTGAGCGTCCTCCCGAAATCGTTCTTGAGGACACCTAAAGTTATAGTGTGGTGTGCACTTTCCTTAGCTGGAATTATTGGTCCTTGGTTCTTTGAGGAAAATGAAGCTGCAGTAACAGTGAATTCGGACCAGTATGTAAACATGTTACAGGGCATAAGCACACACTTCAAGAGCATCAGTGGTCGTTTTCCCAGAACGCCTCATCTCAATTAGGGGCCGATTTGGAGCGACCAGCCCGCTCTCCCGATTTGACACCTACTGTTTTTTGGAATCCCGTGTTAGTGTTAATCGTCCAAGGACCCTACAGGATCCGAAGACCAACATTCAGGAAGAAATCGCCAATATAACGCCTGCTATGCTGACAAGGGTCATGACAAACGCGAGAAATCGGTTTGCTCAATGTATGGAGAATGGGGGACGTCACATTTCTGATTTGGTCTTCAAAACTATGTAAAACAAAACTTTAGGCATGTGGTTACATCATAAAAGACAAACAAAAATGCGCTGATTTATACCATTGTATAAACCCATTGGTTTTATTAAGTTTTGAAAAAAGGGAGTCAAGCTGCCGGGTCCTTTATTTATGTTTTCAGTCTTTTTCTGATCTTTTGGAGTAGAACTTGAGCTGTCTAGACCCTATGCTTTTAGATAAAATTTTCTCTTTTACCTAATTATTTCTTTTAAGCCCTAGCTTAGGTTAGTTATATGAATGGTCATTGGCCAGACATCGCCATTTATGTGTTCTGTATTTATCTATTTGTTACATTAAGGTCAATTGAGTTGAAAATGTTGTAGGAAGGCCCAATGATCCATTGTGGAGCAGTAGTGGCAGCTGGAATGTCTCAGGGAAAATCCACGACTTTCCGGAAAGATTTTAATATTTTCCGATATTTCCGAGAGGATCATGAAAAAAGAGACTTTGTTTCTGGCGGTGCGGCTGCTGGTGTATCTGCAGCTTTTGGAGCACCAGTTGGTAAGGAAAAAATATTGCCATAGTCGTTAGAAACATATTTCAATCTCTGTAGCCATTTTATTTGCAAAATATTTCAAAAATACAGTGACTCTGTAGACGAAATACAACTCACAAAGTTTCTACTGTTTACCTCATTAACTAATTTTTTCAGGTGGCGTGTTGTTCAGTTTAGAAGAAGGGACAAGTTTCTGGAACCAGAGCTTAACCTGGCGAACATTTTTCGCCTCTGTTGTGTCGACGTTTACCCTAAACGTAATATTGTCAACATATCATGGTGTACCTGGCAATCTCAGCTACCCTGGTCTTTTGAATTTGGGAAAATTTGATTCGTTTAATTATGAGTTCTTCGAGCTGCCAATATTCCTCATTATGGGTGCTATGGGTGGATTTTTTGGGGCGTTGTGGAACCATATTAACTTCAAGATTACAGTATTCAGAATGAGGTATTTGTTTATATTTCCTCTTTATGGTAGTGCAATATTAAAAATGATAAAGCTTTTTCTATTTGTTTCCAGGTATATTCGTCCAAGGTGGTTGAAGGTGGTAGAAGCAATTTTGGTAGCAGCGGTTTCAGCCACAGTGGGATTCTTGATGATGTTTATTTTAAATGATTGCAAACCCCTTGGCCAGGGACCTACCAAGTATCCAACACAGGTACAATGTTTTTTCCAAATACTGAAAATCACTTGTATCTGAATGTTACATATGCTGATGCTACATTTCTTGAAAATTTTGATGATGATTTGAGTTTATTCTCCGTTGTTCTGTGTAATTGTATCACAAGGTTCTTTTCCAATGAGCTTTCATGGAGTTCTTTCACGACGTTTTTTGCGACATTTTTTCTGAGATACTCTGACAATGTTCTTTTTCGGGGGTATTCACGGCGTTTTCTCACGAGTTGAAGACCGGTTCTTTTTTCTTAAGAATAAAAAAAACACCAAATACGCACGAAATCGACTACTTTCCAACTCGTTAATATTTGCGCAGAAAGGTGTAATTGTAACATATTTGAGATTCTTCTGAATCAAACGACGCCCCGTGTTTCTGTCACATTGCTCATACTGCCAATTCCAATCTTGTATTTTCCTGTACCCATAATACTTTTGATATAAATTTTGTTTGACCTGTTGCAGCTGTACTGTTTGGACGGCCAATACAACGTTCTGGCCAGCATCTGGTTTCAAACACCTGAAGCCTCAGTTCGCTCCCTTTTTCACGACCCTCCCAACACTCACGACGCCCTGCCTTTGATCTCCTTCGTGGTTATCTACTTCTTCCTGGCAGCATGGACATTCGGCATGTCCACGTCAAATGGACTCTTCATCCCGACGCTTCTCACTGGAGCCGCGTGGGGGCGTCTTGTGTCAATTACGCTTTACTATATCTTCCCGAACGTGGTAAGTATCAATATTTCACTAAGCAGGAATAGATAAGTTCGTCATTTTTATAAGAATGTGTCATTTTTCGGTTATTCAAATTCACCTTTATACATGTGCGATATCAAATGCCCCCAGCATAGTATTCGGTTAAAAGATGCGGCGAGCTGTTTGTTTATAATAAAACTTTGGTTTATTTTAAGTAAATTAGTTTCATAACTACTCTCTGTTCAAAGTCCCAACTTTAAGAGAATCCTGTATATATTATTTTCAGGCTTTGGTGCATCCAGGAAAATACGCGTTGATAGGAGCAGCCGCACAGTTGGGTGGGGTTGTAAGAATGACGTTGAGTTTAACTGTGATAATCATGGAAACAACTGGAAATATCACCTTTGCTTTGCCTCTTATCATTACGCTTATCGCTGCCAAATGGACGGGAGATTTCTTCAATGAGGTAGGCAACAATACCCCGGTTTCGGTTTCACACACATTCCATCATCCTTTCTTGACGCGCTTCCGATCGGGCCTTCACGACGTTTTTTCCAGACTGACTTGCAATTGACGTCTTTTTCCGACTGAATTGTTCGACATTTTTTGTCCCCGGACATGCAAGAGATTTTTTCCCGATCTACTTAGACGATGATCTTTCCTGACTTACACGACGCTCTTCCCCGACGGTACTTTCAAGACGGAGGTTATTGTTCAATAATTTTTTTTGGGACATTCTTTCCGAACGGACGCGACATTCTTGCCTGGAGGATTTGAACTGTCCTTTTTATTTTTACAGGCGTTCCCGACATGCTTTATTCGTGCATTTTGACGATCTTTTCCGACTGGAAGATTTTACCCGACGGACTTGCATGGCGTTCTGTTACGACAGTCTTGAAAGACATTCCTTCACGAGAGATTTGTGCGACATTCTTTCACAACGGTGCTACGTTCTTTTCCGACAAATTTGCACTACGTTCTGACCCAACATATTTTGAAGATGGTCTTTCATGCGACGGACTTGAATAACATTCTTTCTCGACCGACTTGTACGTTATTTTCCGGCGGATTTTTTGCATGATGTTCTTTTTCGACGGATTACACGATGGTCTTCCGCGACGTTCTTTCCAGACGTACTTGGGCGACAATCTGTTGTAGCTTGTACGAAGTTCTTACTCGACATTCTTGCATGTCGTTTTTTCTCGGCTCAACGGATTCGTACGAACTTATTTTACGATGAATTTGTACGACATTCTTTCACGACGTATGTTTGCTGACTGACGCCCATCCTATACCGAAGATTTCTTTCTTGTTTTTTCTTTAATATTTCTCACATTTAATGTTTCTTCTAGGGTATCTACGACACGCTAATACAATTGTCAGGTGTTCCTTTCTTACCATGGGAACCACCGCCGTTGGTGCACAACATTTACGCTAGCGAAGTGATGTCGCATCCCGTTATAACGCTGAAGTGCGTCGAGAATGTCGGACACATCGTTGAACTCCTCAGGTTGACCAGCTACAACGGATTCCCTGTTGTTGACCCACCTCTGTCGGACCAGGTATTACTTTATTCAAAATTTCCAAATCTCCAAATTATTTTCCAAATTTCCCAAACTTTCAAATCCAAGCTTTGTTTCAAAATTAATATTTTTGTTCATCATTATTGACCCCTGTGCAAATGTTAATTAGACTTCTTGCAATTGTGGTGAAAATTAGGTTGAAAGATTCCGTTACATACATACATACTAGGGTGTCGCAGCCTATTAGAGCAAAGCATTTTTTGTTCGAATTGAGATAGGCATACTATCTAATTTTGTTTCCATTGACTTTAACAACACAAAAAAATATATATTATTGTGATCGGGTAACCATGTATGGATTTCAAAACCTAATTCTTATTCGACAAATAAAACACTGATTTATATTTCTTAAATATTTATCATCAAACAAACCTTATTCACTAAATTTTCTTTTCAAAGTTTTTATAGAACAAAACTGCTAGTACTTGTCCATATGCGTTTCCCTGGTTCTAGGCACATAAAACTTTATCTACAATTGTTTTCACATTGTTCAGGCAAAATTAGAGGTTATGCGTTTGAAAAAAGAACTTTCAGTTTTTTTGGCCACCCTAATACGTACATACATGTCAGCTAATAAAAGCGTGTTAAAAAAGCGGAATTTCAATTGAAAATATTCGCTTGACCCTGAAGGTTGCAGTTAAGGTCACCATCGCTTTAGCCCCTCAAAACGTTACTTTTGTTTGAAACTCGGAGGTGGAGAGATGGGACACCCTGTATAACTTCAACCAACAGCAAAAGCTCTTTCTTTGCTTGTAAGATTTTGCAACATTTTTTTTTCAGTCTGAGGTAACGACGTACGGCAGAATACGCGGCCTGATCCTGAGATCTCAATTGATCGTGATTCTGCAGAAAAAGATCTTTAACGAAACCTCGGACGATTGGGACCGAATCAAAGCTTCGATATTCAGGAACGAGTATCCTAGATATCCGAACATTGACAATGTTCAAATCAGCGAGGAAGAGAAGACATTCTCGGTAGATCTCAGACCTTTTATGAATCCATCTCCATACACAGTGCTTCACGTAAGTTATACTTTTTTAGAATCGTTCATCCTAAAAATACTTTGAATTTTTCATTACTGCAACTTTATTACTTTTTTACAGTCTGCTTCACTCCCGAGAATGTTCAGGCTTTTCAGAGCCTTGGGACTGAGGCATTTGCCAATCGTCAATGATATCAACGAGGTAAGTTCAGTGCACAATGACGTTTTTTTCGAAATCAATGTAGAAATGAAAATAACTTTCTTAAATACAGGCAGTTTCTGTGAAAATCCTTTTTTTATCAACTGGGTGTCCACAAAATATGTAAACATAAAACAAAGTTGTAAGGTTTGAACAGATTCATCTCATGCTGACCTTGAACGTGACTGGCAATGACCTTCGAGGTCAGTTGAATGTTACATTCGTTTTCTCAAACGGCAACCTCTGAGAGCAAGAAAAGTGAAGAGCAGAAAATTTTACGTTGAAAAACCTTTCTTCAGAAAGTATGCAAGGTGCAGTCTGTCGAAAAAAATGTTTCACAGAGATACATTCTGCGATACAAAATTGTGAAGTTTAAAAAGAGTTTCCTTGACAATGACCTTCATGGTTATTTGAAGGTCAAATCAGTTTACGGACAGGATGCCGCTACTTTTGGTTCTCAGGCTGAGGAAGAATTTTACGTCCATGTTCCTCAAGATCATTTGAAGGTAAAATGATTTTTTGCAATGTTTTTTTAGGAAGCATTTTTGCCCATTCCATACTGTCTTCATGATTCAAATTTACCTTGAAGTCTAAAGTCGTGGGCAAAAAAACGTACTTGAACGTGAAGCTCTCTGCTCTTTACATTTTCGTTGCCAGAAATAGGAATGTTCATTTTCGATTTCCACAAAAATTGAAAATACATTAGGCGTTCCACAGGGCACTATCCTGGGATCACTTATTTTTATTTTATATATACATAAAAGATTTACCTGCCATAGTAAAAAAATGCAAAATTAAAATTTTCGCTGATGACACTTTACATAATATCAATTTTTTCCACTGACCTCAAAATTTTGCTTTGTGATACGCATGTTTTGTCTTTGTTCAATTACTGTGACTCAGTGTATGGTTCTTGCTTAACAAAAAATGATTCTGACCAGATACGTGTTCAAAAATCTTGTCTCAAGTTTATCTTTAATTTGAACCTGTTTCGCACAAGTTATCTGAAGCAGGCTGGTTAAACATGCAGGCAAGGAGAAATCTGCACTCTGCAGTAATTTTTCATAACATTATTTTTTATAGAACTCCGCCGTACTTATATAATAACATTACATTCCGTAGTGATGTTCACAATGTCAATGTCCGGTTCAGAGGTCGCATTTCTCAACCACCACATCGTACTGCAATGTTTGGTAGACCATTTTCACATTCTGTTTGTCCATCGTACAAACACGTTCCCACAGACTTTGAGTCCATCGCAGTGTCAGCTTTGAAAAGGAATTTCAAGAACTTTTGTTCGGAGCAACAATAGTTGAGTCTCTCCCGTCTTGTCCTTCTCATCTGGGTATGAGTTCTAAGTTAGAGTTTGATTAAAGAAACATATTGTGCTTGAATTTTCTTGTCTCTTTTTTTGTTATTTTTGAACGAAATGGTTAGAATTGTGTTATCAGTAGACAGCTATAAAAATGTTTTGACAGTGCGCCAGTACTTTGATCAGTCCTAAACTGTTTGCTGGTCCATTTTGCAGTAAGTGTAATTTGTTGTTTTTCCCTATTTTGTATCCTATGTAATTTTTGAACTGCAAATAAACGCTATTATTATTATATTACCGCCATAATCACACTAAATCAACATAATCAAATGCCAACCAAAAGGTATGTTATATTTTTTGTATTCCATCAAAGATTGATTTAAAACACATATAAAAGGCCAGAATACTTTGAGAAAATTCAAAATAGAGGAATTACTTTTTAAATGTACATTTAGCGTAAGCAACATATGACTTGAATTTACTCATTCTAAGTTGTTTATAATTCTGTTTATGTAGCTTAACGAGCTAAATAAATCTTTATTAACTACTACATGATTTTGAAGATCATGATCACAGGGTTGCCATTAGATAATCTTTTTCAAATATTACGTGTTCTGAAACAATTTTCTCTAGGAACATAAAAACTAAATTTCTAGTGTTAAAAATAAGAAAACTCTAGACCTTTAAGATCATGTTGAAACTCCATGAGATGAAGTTTTCCAACCTTACTACTTGTTCTAAAATATTTTTATTAAGGAAGCAAATTTTTGAGATATTTTGATATTTCTATACTTTCTGGTATCCTCTAACATGATGTGATGTGATTTTAGGTTGTTGGTATGGTAACAAGAAAAGATCTGGCGCGTTACAGAGTATGGAGGTATAGAGGCAGAATAGGTGTAGAAGAATTGCTTATATCCAAAGACATTTAGAAAAGGCAGTATTTTATTTATCAACCTTAGAATTTACTCATACTCAATATATGTGTTGTATACTGTAATTAACATATTTTGCTGTGAATTTATTTATAGTAAGTTATAAATGCAGTGTTACAATCCACAAATTCAGGAAAAAAGAGAGATGGTTTATATGTTATGTATATTATATTATTTAATTTTTAATGGTCTTCTTATACTTGGAACTGTACAAAATTTATCTTTAAATGTTTATTTTCCTAAATAAAACAACGTATATACAAAAATATATTATTTCAGCGTTTTATTTAACATTTTACAATAATGTATCAAATGATTTAGATTAGTAACAGTGATCAGTCTTGGATAATTCAGATTTAAAATAATAAATTATGTGCTTGTAAATTAACACCAAGGTCAATGCAAAAAATATACAAATTCAAAATAGATTTTTCAAAATATACATACTTATTTTATACATAGTATGATTGTGACTGAAATCACCTAAATTTTGATTCAACTATACCAACTGACTGAAAAAAGAACACCTAGTAATAATGAATTTATTACACAGATTTTCTAGTTATATGCTTAGGTTAGGACAAAAAACGACGATTAGCTTTTCAATTATACCGATATAGTGGTTTTTATGACATGGTCTCTTCTTGCAAACATTGTCAGAATTACGATGGTCCATTTTGAAGAGTGTCAAGTCGATTTGTTGTCTGGAACATTTTGGGAAAAAATTATTGTATTTACCTCCACAGACTCTAGTGGCACGAGGTACGGTAGCCTGGGATAAGATACCTCGAGAGGAAATCGATCATCTGATCAGTAGTATGCCCAGGGGGGTATAATTTTTCTTAATAAAATGCCGCACATAAGGGTGGAAAATAATTTTAATATTTTTAAGAATAACAAGGAATATCCTCATAGAATTGGAACCTAAGTTGTAGCAATTTTTAGATTACACATTTTAGCCTGTTCACATTTTGTTTTTTTATTTAGAAAAAAAGTGATACGTTTCATTTGAAAGTTTGAATTTCTCAATACTTAAGCCGTGCGTATATATATTTAGCACATTTTTGTATTTTAATTTTCTATTATTATATAGTGCCTGGTTACTGGTTTTTGTGTACTGACGCCTAAACATTCAATTGTTACAATGGACTACTTGTAATTGTACACAATTACACATAAGGTGAGCCAACAAATTATTGATATTACATTATTTAATGGTTTGATTTTCTGAACTTTTGATCAATCACTTATCTAATCCTAAGAGTATGTATACAAAAACTTGTAATAAATTCATTATTACTGTGTATTCTTTTTTCTATGTCAGTATAGTTTTATTACTAAAATCGAAACTATATATTAAATACAAATGACAGCAATATGATAAAATTGGTTACACATATATTACCATTGATTAATGTATTCTACTTGAAGCTATGCAACCATATACTGTATTCCCACATCTAAAAAGGTATCTGAAATATTCAATGCTTGCAGGCATTGAAAATTTAAAAAGAGGCACCAAAAAAGGGATTGAAAATCCAAGTGGCATCTATAATACAGTAGCAAAACACCCTAACTCTTGTCAAACTATGTTCAGGTAGAATACTTATATCAATGATAATACACAAGTTTAGCTAGTGACTGTAATACTAATAAAACATTAATTGCTAATCGTAAAGTAAAAATGATTCCTTGAAACCACAATAAATGTAGAGTTACCATATATGCAAAAGGCGTTATTATCATATGTATTCATAGATATGTAGAAAGAATATAAAAAGTATGAATTTATTGAAACCTGTTCATCTGAAACCTTCAAAAACTAACTATTTTTCTTCCGTGAAATGTATAGTAAAAATTAAATGTGATCCTGTTTGTTTCAAACTTCAGATTTTCTCTGATTCAATACTGAAAGGAAAACTATACAAAATTTTAATTGAACATTTCATTAGCGATCAGCTATTTGCCAAAAAATATTATTTTGATTTTATGATAGTGTTTAACTTTTGATATCTGGTAACTCTGTACATTGATAAATGTATTCTACCTGACGATAGATAACCTAATGCCATAAATGCGCGTCCGAAAAACTATCCAAGTTCCAAGATGAACTGAACAACTATTAGAATTTGTCACAAATATGACCCAATTTCTAACACCAAAAACATAGAGCCACTGTGGAGGATATAGAAAATTACAGACAAATATCTGAATTATCTACAGAAGTATTGAAAAATTGATAAAGTAAGGTCTGATAGATACCTAGTTTACCTTGGTGTACCGCAAGGACCACTGTTGGGACCATTGTTATTTATGCTTTTCAGAAATCAGCTTCTGAACGTTCTGTTCAGAAATCAGTTTCTGGAAGTTCTACTGAAGAACTTTGCAGAAACATAATAGTTTTTGGAGAGGAGGTTTGGTGTGTAAGGAATAAGTTGATATATTATTAAATAATCAACTTGAATTGCAGTCTGTAGACAGTGTTAAGCTCCTTGGAAGCTGGTTATATATAATATGACTTTTGAATCTCATAAACAATATTTGCTGTAATGCATAATGAAACATATTTAGATGAAATATCTCTATTATCTCTCCACTATGCATGTACATTGTATATAGCCACCTGTCATATAATTCTCTTTGATGGGGTAGAGTAACCAACATAAAGAGTCTATCTTTGTTGATGCAAAATGAACAGCAATATTATAATACCAAGTCAAAATCTAATCATTTTGGACTGTAACTTCCACTAGGTCACACACTAAATTTTGTAGCAATGTACAATGCTCTACCTAGAGATTTGAGGGATATCGATAGCTACTGTAGTTTTTAAAGAATGGTTTTAAATTATCTGATAAATGTTTTTATAATATTCACGAATTTTTAAATTGAGGGTGTTGATGCCATTGAAATAGTTCTTTATTGAATATTATTTTTTACATAATTTTTAATTTTGTCAATTATTTAAATGTGTTTGTTATATTTATGTGGATATCTATGTATGTGTATATATTATACATATTGATGGACTAATACAATTTCAAATTTCAATTCATTGTGTTTGTTATATTTATGTGGATATCTATGTATGTGTATATATTATACATATTGATGGACTAATACAATTTCAAATTTCAATTCATTATAGCATATTTTATGAAAGTATCTGAGGATAACATATTTTTTCATCTTCATTCTTTTTTGTGGCTTGCCCTTTGGACCATGTGTTTGTATTTTGGCTGAATAGAATACTACTGCTACTACTATATCAGGAGAACCAACACAATAAGAAAAAAATGTCCTATAGCTCAGATAGTTTACTAGATGACAATATGGCATTAGGTTCGCTAACTCCAGGTAAAATATGTTAATCAAAGTTCTGTATGTTAGATTATACTACGCAGGTCATCACAGTTTTCTTCACAGCATCTCTAGCATAAGGAATATAAGACAGGGAATACCAAGTCATCGCTATAGACTGGAATATTATAAACAATAAAGCTAGGAGGGGTTTGTGCCACTAGAAAATAAAAACAAAATAAATAAAACAAGAAAACACAAATACAAAAAGAAAAACTTACCACAGTTGCAGCTATAATGGTCAAAACAAACATAATAAAAACCAAAATTGTAGCAATATATCTAGTTGAAGCAAACATTTTCTTGACTTGGTTGAATGGTCCCATGAGGAAGCATGTGCTTAGCATGGATACTATGTTGCCTAAGGTGTAAAATACTGCAAATATACCCAAGCCTTTATGTAGAAACAAGGCAAATGATCCTAAGAAGGAAAGTAAAATACCGATTATGAAACATATCAGAAAACCTCTTATTCTTGTTGACCAGCTCAGTGTTGAGGCATCATCCAACTGTAAAAGAAAAGCCCGATCAGCATTTTTTTAAGATGGAGCTTTTTAAGAAACACTTTTCCAGTTATAAAGACGAACATTTTTGAAAAGCTATTAAGATAAAGATGCGGTACTAAGCATTTGAATAGTTTTGGTGTGTCAAATTATACATCTTTGTACCTCTTGTGTTGGAAACTGGTTTGTATTTGTACTCATATCAAAGAAGATAAAAATAGTGTTTACGAGTCGTGTCTTACTTGTGACATTATACCGCTCTCCTCATCCGGAGAATCATTTCCACTCAGTACTCTGCGGAGCTTATCCATTGTTTATCAATGCTGCAATTCAAACACATTTTAAATCAGATTTTTCTGTTTGCTCTTGGGATTTATAGAACAATGTAGCATGTAGCGATAAATAATCTTGGAAAATGCCAGAAAATTCTTCGTACCTATTTGTTAGTTAATGTACTATTCAAAATAATATGGTGTCTAGAACTGAACTAGGTTGAACATTTCTCAAAATAATCCATGAAATCCACGTAAATTTACGTATTAAACTTTTTGAGGATGTGTTGTATTTTGACTTCTACATCTACACATTTTGATACAGAACTGCAAATGACAATAGAAGAAAATGTCTGAAAAGGGAGCACGGTTGACGACCATTTTCAGCCCATTTATTGATTCGAAAAACCACGCCTCTTTTGCTAGCTAAGCCCATCAGAATCGAGCTCTTGACCAGTAATAGTGGCGTCCTCTTTGTAAGAGTAAGCTATTTAATTGACAAAAGCTGTAAGAATTTCTACTTAAACGATTCTATATTTAATATTAGTCCACAGTGGTCCCAATAGATGACAGTAAATGTAGAATTGTAGTGTTTTTTTGGAATAATTTTTATTATACCAATGGCCATTTACCAAAATAAAATTCTAAACAATCAAAAGCGACGTTCGTTGATCATGTTTGTGTTGTTTTGATTTTGCGCTAATTTGTTTCGTATCTATAATATACATAATTATTTTTCTATCATGAATTGAGGCTGACGTTATTTTGGAAAGTTAAACCAAGGAATAGCATATCCGCAAATGCAAATTGCTCCGTGCTTGACCTTTTTTCCGGTAAAATGGCATTCGCGTAGCAGAGTTTACCGCATTGTGTTGAATTTAAATCCTTCGTTGAATCATTGCTGAATGCAAATAAATTTTCTAAACGCTTGGCTGAAGAAATGCTTGAATACTATTTTAAGTTTCAAGTTCACTGTCGTGTTCATTTCTCGGGTGTATCTATATATAATAATAAATTAATCTAGATTGCAATAAGACCTTTTCTTAACAAATGTTCCAAAACCTCATTTCTCTTTCGCAGTTTAAAATCATCTAACAATCGGTAATCTTTGACTGTCTGCTACCAGCATAACGATATGCCAACAGATTTTGTTTTTTGATCACAATAATCTATTCTCTCATTTGAAAACGTTTTTATTTTAAGAAAAATGTAAGATGTCTCAATATGGGCATCCCCTTCGATATGAAAGATTCATAACTAATGATTTGCATCTTTAGGGGTGAACAGGCAGATACTTTTTCAAGAATTCGAAACTCGCGAGCCTACCTCTATTAGTGCCTATCCAGAAGTGTTAGACCGTCACTAATGAAACCAAAAATTACTCACCGTCAGCAGAGGAATAAATAATGGGATATGATCATAATTAGTAGTTGCGTCGGTCATGGGGGCGTTCCAGAATGCTTTATTGCTTTTTAATGCAGTCATCCTACCAACTATGTATATCAAGGTTGATTCGTCATAGTTGCTTAACACTTGATATGATTGGTACAAGAAGTCTCTATTGAAATTGAAATGAGAGTAAATCAGTCTATGAGCGGAACGAAGAAGCTCTCCTAATTCTGACGTGATTTTGGAGAATTCGACAATATGTAAAAGGATGTGGCACAAGCAAAGATTTCTATTTAGGCCCGGTTATAGGTGGCATGGGATTGGTGGCGCAAACGATATTTGGGGCTGTTCATTTTTCAACCTCAGTGGAACGTCTAGAATGTATCCTATTATTGCTCCTTAAATCCACTGTACTCTATCTGGTCAATGCCAGCTTCAAAAAAAAAACATGGAAAATGCTCAGAAATCCCCAGAAAGGCGATATTTTATTATATGAGAACAAAAGAAGTAAGTACGTGGCATTTATAATTAACTAGTGTAATTATATTGAAGATTAAAACATAAAAAACTTCATTGTTCGGTTAACAAAAAAAAAAATAACATTCTGTTGGACCCCAAGACATATCCCAGTCGATTCTACACAAAACAATGTCTTTGATGGCAAAAACGAACATGAGGCCTAAAAATTCACATTGTCGTATGGACGCTAGACGAGATAAAGAAGGATGTCTATAGACCATCTTTAGACCGTCTCCAGACTGAATATAAACAAATTGCGCAACGGGGTCTACTGGTGTGTACTAATAAGCTTAAGAATTAAGACTCTGAACTACCCATTAAACAAATCAAGTAATTGGTGCAAATACTGACACGATCAAGCACTTCTATTATATCAGCAGGTGATAGAAATATCAATAGGTATAGTCAAATATTTTTTGAAATTCAATATAGATGTTACAGTTATTCTTCAGCTTTCGTTGTCGAACTTAGATTTACGGCATAGTTGTTGTTTCCTTAGTTTTCGAATCGGTGTTGATCGCATGTAAAAATGTATGTAAACAGTAAGTACAGGAATACAGGGCTGTACATATTCACATGTAGTGCATCAGAAGCTCTGTGATTTAAACATACTCGTAGCAACATACCTAAATAGAAACATACGCGGCAAGAAATGCGGGACGTTAGGCGTTCATCTAACATAGTGCTTCGCTGCATCACTAACCCCGAACAAAATTAGTCAAACTTTACACACTTTTCAAATTACTATTGTGCAACAAACAGAATATAAATCACTTTTTAAGTGCAATCTGTATAGCTAATTACTCAGCTTAGATTTGTCACAAGTCACAATACTCGTATATATGTATAAATCGTAAGAATTTTGCTGTAAACGTAAGTAATGTCGAAGAGGACAGCGTTTGGAATACCAAAGGATACCCAAAAATCGCGAACCTCCCGCGCTGCCCCTAAATCCGCTCCGCTATTGTCTTTAGTCAGGTTAGCCTTGGAAACAATTCTAATCACTTAACTGACATTTTGCAATGTTAGCTGTGTCTCTGTGGTTGTGCTTGTGAACGTATCACATAGATCAGTTCCTGTCAGTTGTATTTGACTGTGATTTTAAGTATTGTGACCTAAAAATGGCGTTTGTTGTTAACAATCAGCCTGCGGTCATTCAATTTAGGTCAGGTGAAGGTTTACAACCATTGCAAATTCATACGCGAATGCAAGCAGTGTTAGTCTTATCATACTAGTCGTAAATACCCCCGGTTAGCGAAATAGTTGTAAAGTTTGGTTTTATTGATGCAAGTTGTTCAATGGGTCCAACAATTTTTGTGGGAAAACTTTTTAGGTATTCGACAACAGAGAATGAGAACAGTTTTTTTTTTTGGGGATTCAATCGAAAGTGTTGACAGGTACGAAAAAACACTTCAAATCAGATTTTTAAGTATTTATGAGACCTACAGAATGAGACCACACGTGAACAGATCCCACTAATAGTAAAAAAGTTATGGCCGAAAACCGAGACAAAATGCAGGTTTTGGCACCTAATGCTAATGCGACGCGCAGCTACTTGAAATTCTCCCAATCCGTAGGCTTCATACTTCTACATTACCACAACAAAATTAGAGTCGATTGGTCAAGTAGTTTGTGAGAACTTCTAATTGTTTACCCCAAAACACCTGTATTCCGGTCATAACTACTAGTTTATTGAGCAATTTCCAAAGGGCATTTTATAGCAAAATACACGATTTTACCTTGCCGACATGAATCAAAAGCCATTCAGAAAGATAATTGTTAAGATTTATCGCCTTGCGATTTTCACATCTTTGGGCCACTGAAAAAGGAGTTGAATTTTAAGCATTTTCAGTCGGACGAAGAAGGATAAAATGCGGTAAAAGAATTCGTCAAGCAGCAGTCACAATAATCCTTTAAGCAGGGTAGGTATACGAGCCTCTTCCCACTTCAGTTGGCCCAACTATTGTCTAAGTCTTTTCTTATCAAACACAAATAATAAAAATGTAGCAGGGTGTTACAGGTTTAAAATATTAACAATGAATATTTTGATAATATAAGTAGAAAACACCAACTTTATCACTCCCTAATCAAATTTGCAGCATAAAAATAACACATGTTGCAATTACAGCATATAAACCTATTTTCATTTCAATGCAAAATAAGTCTATAATGCATAGGTGGCTGTGCAAAAATAAAAGCCATGACCATTGTTTTTATTAATCACAGCTGCCAGAATACGTTTAAAATAGTTTTGGGTAGTTAAGGTTTTCAAAATGGCTAGAGGAAAGGTTATTAGTGAGAAAACTCGGTTACTGATAATTAATTTTTTTAATTCTGGGAAATCGCGGTACAGTGTGAGAAATATTGTTAGAACATATAACGTAACTGGTTCAGTTAATATTAAGCCACGATATGTGAAAAAAAGTAATATCATAAATGCCGACCGAAGAGCATTAAGAAGAATAATCGTGAAAAACAGGCGTGCCAATTATTTACAATTAAGTGCTCAGTGGAGTGACGCTGTTGGAAGGAGAATTTCGAGGTCCACAACTCATAGAGAGGCACACAAACTGGGATTTAGCACTTGCAAGGTAAGTTTTCTTATAAAAAAGTGAAGTAAAAACCCTTAAGTTGCACAACTTGTTTATAGGTCAAAGAAAAGCCACTATTAACTCCACTGCAAAAGAAAAATCGGCTTAGATGGGCTAAAGAACATAGACAATGGACACCTCAACAATGGTGTGCAATACAATGGAGTGATGAGGCCCGATTCGAAGTTTGTGTTGGTGACAGTCGCAGTAGAGTTATTCGCAAAAAAAAATAAGCATTCCATGTTGACTGTCCGAAGAGAAAAGTGAAATTTCCAGCATCCATTATGGTCTGGGGCAGTATGTCCTCAAAAGGAGTAGGTAAACCTCATTTTATTGATGGAAATGTGGATACAAACAAATATTTGTCAATTTTAGAAGAATCGCTTTTACCAGTGATGAAACAATGTTTGACATCCGGCCAAGATTTTGTGTTTCAGTAAGATGGTGCAGCGTGCCATACCTCAAAAAAGGCTATAAAATGAATGGAAGAAAATAATGTACCACTTTTGAAATGGGTTTCTAGCAGTCCAGATCTGTCACCTATTGAAACTTTGTGGCACGAGATGAAAAAGGTTCTACGACAACATCCTGCTCGTACAACCACCGAACCGAGACAAAAGCTTCAAGAAATATGGGATTGTTTTACACCAAATTTTTGCCAAAACTTGGTTAACACTATGCCCCAAAGAATTTCAGCCGTAATAAAAAATAAAGGTGATGTTACCCAATGGTAATCTTTCAATTGTTGCTTTGTTAACTTCGCGCATTTATTCGCACATTGTTTATTTGTTCAGATGTTCTATTAGTTATAGGTCTAAGTGATTTCAAATATGTATTTTTTACGACTAGAGTGTATCTAAAATGTTTTTGAGAAAATCAAATGTTTTAGA